AATTATGGATTCTGAAGTAAAACTCAGTGGAAATCAAGCAGCAGGAGATAGGAAGAGGGGATGGGCACAAATCTACCTCATGGGTATAATGAACACTATCTGGATGATGGGCACACTTATAACCCTGACTCAAGCATAACAAAAGTGATCCATGTAACCAAAAACACTGTGCCCCCATAATATTTTGAAATTAAAAAAAGAGATGAGAAAAAAAGAATTATGGATTCTATCATTTACCTCCTCCTCTTCCCCATAATTTGATGTATTTTTAGGGTCTATGTGCAAGTTATTATTTTAAAAATGTTTATAAGGTCACCTTTTCAAAAGAGTCTAAACTGTCTTTCATGGTTTTCATTGGTTTTTTTAAATCTAGACCTTTTTTGGTAGGGATGTGTAACTTGAGATGGCCTTGTTATGGTTTGGAAATTTTATTTATCTGATTCTTAATCTCAAAATAACAGTGCCTTCAGATCCTGAAAACTCCTCTGGTTGCCTCAATTTCTTTTTATGCTACTAGACTTTATGTACATTAGTCAACAGGAGAATTTCAGACTTTATCCTTTTCTCTTTGCCATGCTTCACATCTTCACAAATCAGCAACTCTATCACTGCATTCTAGGTACATAAAGCCAAGTTTTAAAAATAGGAATGAATTGGGATTTTTTTCCCCATTTTAACAAAATTTGGTTTAAAAGTAGCAGATAAAATAACCCCAAATCAATCCATTACATGTAAATGTTATTTTATATTTCTATGGTACTTTTTGTTTTCATTGGGTTTTAAGTTGCAAAAGTGACATTCTGTTCCACTGTGGTAACATAATGCTTTTTCAAAGGAGGAAACCGACCCCTCAAAGTGTTAAATATCCTGTCTGTAGCTGTACAATGAACATGGCAGAGACAAAATTAGAACTCAGAGTTTCTAAGTTTTGTTTTCTTTCATCTGCTCTTCTTTTATGTATTAAATTCTCAAATTAGAACAAGAAAAGAATTATGGATTCTAAAGCTAGAAAATGTTATGACATCATCAGTCAAAAAGGTAGAATGTAAAATTTCACATGCTATATAATTACAACTGTGTTTAAAAAACACCTATGCATGGAAAAATGTGGAAGAAAATACATCAAACTATGAACATGGTTTATTTGGGGAGTGTGACATCTTAGGTGACTTGGGTTTTTCTACTTGTCTTCATTTTCCAAAGTTTCTTTAGTGAGAAAGTATGTATTACATATAGAGTGGAAGAAGTTTTAAATAGACGTTCAGTGAGGGCAAAAGAGGTGTTGCCCACTATGGGGGACTGACGGGAAAGTCTGAGCCCCTCATGGCGATGGTGCAGTGGGGGAGGATGGAAAGGCCCTCTGAGTGCAAGTGTGAAGGGGTGGGGAAAAGATGACTCTCCTGCAGAGAGGGAGGCTTGAGGCTGGGGGGGTGTCGCTGTGTGAAGATTGGGGTGCGGGGGCAGAGTGGAGACTGCTGGGCTTTAGAGTGCATCCCCTCTCTCTTCAGAGCCAATTCAGGGGGTAAATAATTAGGATCAATCACACATTTTTTTTAAACTAGCAATCAAAGTGGGGACCAGGAAGACAGCAGATCTGGAGTCTGGACACTCAATAAATTCTGTTCCCAAGCCAGCTGCAGAAAGAGGCTTCCCACTCACAAGCTCAACGTGCCGGTAAGGGAAACCACCAATGTGAGAAGTCACGACTTTGCAGGCCCACCACATGCAGCCCCCAGCAGCCCCCAGAGTTGTGTGGTTTGGAACTTGTGAAGTGTGAATAAACAGGGCTGGGGAACCTGCAGCCTTAAGGCCACCTGTGGCCTTCCAGGTCCCTAAGTGCAGCTTTTTGAGTGAATCCAAATTTTACAGAACAAATCCTTTTATTAAAAGGGGTGCAGCAGAGAAAGCTGAAGCTTTTCTTGCATCCTATGGTGCTTGAAAAAGAATAATCTTGAAATCAGAAGGCTGCAGTTTCCCCACCCCTGCAAGGCATTCACTCTTTCATTTGTTCCTGCATGCATTCATTCGTTTACTCACTTAGTAGTACTTTTTGAGTACCACTAAGTGCCAGGCACTATCCTGCATGCTGGGAATACAACAGTGAGCCAAAAAAGAGCTCCACCTTCAGGGTGCTTGCATTCTAATGAGAGAAGCCAACACTCAAATATCCTTCAAATAACATGGCAGCAGTGATGAATGCTATTAATATGAAAGAGAGGTGATAACCTGTAATAGGAAATTTTCCTATGGTTAAGGAAAGTGTCTTTAAAGTGGTGAAGACTGAGCTGAGATCTAAAGGTAAGTAAGAGCTACTTACAAAAACTGGGGAGAGTAAAAGTCACCTTCTACGAAGAGAGCAAAGCCTATGCAAAGGCCCTGTGGTGTGAGGACCTAAAAGAATGAAAGTCCACATGGCCGGATCAGAGAAAGTTGTGCCTCAAAAATTTGATTAGTTGCAGTATGAGAAACAGGTTGTAAGGGGTCAAGGCTAGATGCAGGGAAACTACTCATAAAGCTATTACAGTGGTCCAGGAAAAAGGTGATGACAGGTTGGACAAGGACGGTAGGATGGAGATGGAGAGGGAAGGACGTTGTAGGAGCCAAGGAAAAACTTCCCTTTTGTCCTCTGAAGATTTGCTGAAAAATCAAATAACAAAAGGTATATTAATTGGAGGGAAGGCATGCAAATTTATTTATTTAATGTGTGCACTGGAGCCTTCAGAATGAAGACCCAAAGATATAAGGGAAATTATCCATTTTTATTCTTAGGTTTAACAAAGTATGGTCAGCTGTGTAGGAATGTGATTGGACAAAAAGGGGATGATCTAATGCTAATAGACTGAGCGGGGAAACCCAGCAAGTTCTGTCTGTGTAGATTGCTCTTGGCCTCTCTGAGCATGCACTCCTTCCTCTGGGTATGGGCAGGGCCCTCTCTGAAATGAGCATCCATGACCTACAGCCAAACAGGGTAGGTCAGATCATTTCTTTACAGCCAGTTTTTACACAGAAAGGCAGAGGGAAAGTTAGAGTAATATTTTTAGGTTTTATGGCTGGCTTTGAGGAAAAGGAGTTGGTTTCTATGACCTGGCTTGGGGAAGAAGGATTCTAGTTTCTATGGCTAGCTCAGGGGAGAGTGGAACTGGAGACAGGAGGGCAGGAAAAGTTCAGAGAGGCTGGCCTTTGCTTTTGATAGCCTCTTGGGACTGGAAGGGCACTATTTGGATTCCAGGGCCCACCCAGGTTAGAGAACTAGAAAATCACTCATCTTTTTGACCTGGGACGCCACAAGACTTCCCCTAAGAGGAAGGGCAAACAAGGAGTGCAGCCTTCACCAGTTTGAAGTTACCTGTGTAGCCATGAAAATCTCAAGTCAGGAAATTGGATTAAAGAGATTCGAGCTTGCTAGTGCCCACAAGTACCTGACAGAAGCAAACAGAGACCGTCACTAAAAGAAAATAACATTATTAGGCCTCAAGTTTTTCCTACAAATAATTTTTCACAAACGGTGTTCATCGTGTGATCAGGTACATCCAGGCCCATGAGGAGGCAGGACCATGAGCAAGAACCTTCTGGTAAGCAGAGCCTGCCATGGGCGGGGCCCGGGATGCAGCACATTCATTTGCCCTTATTTCTTCCCCAGGAGAGCAAGACAATAACTGCAAACTTCTTCAGTTCATGTCTCAGTGGGTAGGTTTTAAAGATGTTTTGAGTTCTACCTGACTATAACCCTAAACATTCCCTTTACTGCAGACCGTTGAGAAGACGGCCAGTAACAGAGAGGAGTTGATAAAACATAAAAAGATAAATATTTAGAGTATTCGCTATATGATAATCATTGTTCTAAACACTTAATATATATGCATGTGTGTATCTGCATATACATGTTTGTAAATTTATTTAGTCCTCGTAACAAATATAACCATTTAACAGATGAGATAGCTGAGACCAAGATTGCCTTTTGTCCTGTTGGGAATTGTGGGTTGTTTTGTTTTGT